CGGCTCCTCTTCTTCATCCTGAGACATTTGTGTTCTTCAGTTTCACGTCCGTCACGTGTTAGAAATCTCAGAGACACGCCCACTCGCACACTGAGAAGGTTCCAGATGTTTTTGACTCACTCTGACATTTTACAGATGTTTCACTAGAGGCTGCAGGACAAGATCCAGAACATGTCCAGAGACACTGACTCAGACATTTGTTCTCACATACAGAACATGTGAGGAACACGTCAGAGCTTCATGTCTGAAAACATCTTGTCCAAGACGATTCTGGATTAATTCACAACATAAAAGGTTTGTGAATTAAAAAGAGTTTGATAAATGAGATTTTGGCTCAATGTGTTTCCTTTGGAGAAAACGTGTCCAGAGTAAAAAAATTACTTGTCTCCTGTCTTCATGTCAAATTGATTTTGTGATGAGCAGCTGAATCTGATCTGAAGCTTCAGGAGTTTTAAACTGTTCTTCACACAGAACACGTCAGGAACATGTAAGCACTTCATGTCTGAAAACAACTCAACTCTGTTTAGTCCAAGAGAAGAAAATACTTCATATATCTGCAGATTAATCAATAACCCAAAACTGTAGACCTGTTACCTTATCTAAAAATACTTCAGGCTATTAAATATTTCAGACATACAAAAATAAAAGATGACTCAGTCTTTGGTTCCTGCTTCGTAAAAGATTTTTTTTACTTTGTCCAATGACAAACGTCCCTGAACTTCCTGCTTTCTGTGTCACTGTTTTTACATATCTGGTACAGAAGAAAAACAAAACTTTAAAATTGAAATCAAATGTAAATCCAGGTCTTGTGTGGTGTTCGCTGCCCGTACGCACCTGCTTTAAAAACTTGGGGTTGACATGAATGCTGGCGTTAACGGTGGGCGGCAAAGGCTTGATAGGCCACGCCGGGTCCACTGAGTTGACGCGCACGTCCAGTGCGTACAGCTTCTTCAGGGGGAACACCTCGTCCCATGTAGAGCGCAGCTTAAACAGGCTCTTTCTGGTGTTTTCATCCACCTACAAACAGAGGACATGACTTGGTCCACGGCCACAAACACAACACTCATAAAATGTCACTTTAATGCAAAAGTAAAAGATAATGTTAAAAAGTTCCTAAAGCTCAGCATTCACCCTCCCGTGCACACTTTATTAACAGGATTATGTAAAAGCATCATAACATTAATATTCTCAGTCATCCAGGTTGTGGCTTTTGCAGGGGTTGTACATGTCGTAGATGCAAGTCCAGTCACCCATCTACAACATGTACAACCCCTGACAATGCACAATAAGAAGCAACACAACAAGACAAACAGGAAGGAAGTGAGCTGCTAAAACTGTGATTAATTTGTAACAGCAGCAAAGAAAACTGTACCTTTTCAAAGACACATATAAATGAAGTGATTAGGTTTTTAGCAAACACAGCAAGGTACTCTCCTCCAACATTCTTCACTATGGAATCCACTAAGTACAAAACTGGAAGCTTCTCAGCAGCGGGGGCCTGGAGCGATAGAGAACTCAACAAGTTTAGAAAAACAACAGGGGTAAAAGCAACATTTCAGAACAAATTATTATTCACAACTTATTTTAAAAACAGGGGATGACAGCCCCCCCCCACCCGCCGGGTGAAGAAAAATCAAAAAGAGTCACAAAAATCAAAGTTCATGAGGTTTCTTCAGTCTGGATCAATCTAAGGAAACATGTTGAGTAAGTTCTGATTAATCAAAAAAAAAAAATCCAGAAAAATCAGTGATCTTCAAAAGTAAATCAGTTCAGTCTCAGAGAGGATCCTTCTCCATATAAAACAAGTCCCATGATGCACCAGGGTAAAAAGTCCTCCGGTTTACTACCTCCAAAGAGGGTTTTTCCCACAAACCACTCTTTGTACATTACCCTGACGAAAGGTCGGCGAGTTTCTCTCCACACCCGCTGAGTTTTATGCACTCTTTCAAAGTTTAACCCGGGAGAAGGCTCCCCCCGTTGTTCAAAACACTGAGACCCAGTGAGGAACCAGAACATTTAGATTTGAACTGTGCACTCGAGTCTCGTTACTAAACTGCAGCATCAGCTGAGTGAAGCAATTGTTTGTTAAACCAAGTCCGAACGTGTCAGTAAATGAGTCACCAATAAATTACACTGGAAATAAAAAAATGACAAAAAGCACATTTCACATTTTTTATTATAAACATTTTAACCATTCAATGACATTTCAGTGATTCAAGATTCACTCGTGAATTTAAGCAGAGAAACTTTTTTCTTCGTGTGACCAGGATGAAAACATGGAGCTGAATCATTTCTATAGAGCCGAGGCGGCGGTGGAGAGGCCCCGTCTCCTCTTCTGCTGTTAGAACTAACCGACAGATACTTATTAACAACAGGTTAGACTGCAAACCTTTTCTAAACACAGGGATGTGACATGGCCTCGATCTGCAGAGAACGACGAGCGGAAACAGTTGTGAAAATCCACCGTAGACAAAGTGAATGTTCGAACGTGGAGTCTGTTGCTCACTGGAGGATTGTCCGCCTGATTTCACCGACTATCACGGAGACGTGGCTGATCTGGTCACGTGATCGTGTGACGGGTTTATAGACGTGATCGTAATGACTGTATCTGTCAAATCTTTCATGGTAACCATCAAACTAAATCAGAGACCTGTGTTGGTGTGAAACAAACAGTGAGTGGGCAAGTGAACACAAACCAACCATAGCCAATGAGAGCGAGCTGACCAGGAAGCATCACCAACCTGATGTGACTGGAAATTAGAACAAACTCAGCTGCCTACAGCAAACTACACTTGTGTCTCTTGTACAAGGTGGAGAAACGAAGACGAGGAGAAATCATGGATTTGTGGGAACGGTGTTTGTGTAACCAGCTGATGATCCCATGTTTTTATATCAAGTTTCTGGAATTGTTCATCTCCACAGGATGGTCCAGTGTGTGTGTGTGTGTCAGTGACTGTCTGTATGTCTGTACGAATTCCGATTAGTAAATCGTGTGGCGTGCAGCAGATATAAGATTCTGACAGCACCACAAGTAATCAGATTACTTCACGCTGTAAATGAAAATATCTTCCATCGTTTAAATCTGCTTCTTCACTTCTCACATGTTGCTTCAACTGCATCTTCATCAATATCAGAAGTGTTTTGTATTTAAACAGGATTTCCCGTTCGTTTCTAATGTTTGACTCTACTTCCTGTTCCTTCCTGTTCCTTCCTGTTCTCACCTCAACGATTATTTCAGATTCCATCAGAGGATGATGATGATGAAGCTCTTCATCTTAACTTCACACGTGATGGATTCATTGATTACGTCATCTCCTCCCCTGTGGGAACCTGGATTTAAACCAGTTTAACCGAGAGTTCAACTGGTTCACGTCATGGTTTACGTCATGGTTTACGACATGGTTTAAATCACTTTACGGTGGATTTTCACTTCGTTAAATTTGAATTAAATTGAAAAGTTTTTTAAATCAGCGCGGCGAGTTTGGACCCGTGTGGAATAAAAGACGTGTTGTTAATCCGTGGCTATCGAGCTGAGGTGTCTCGTCGGAAGCAGACGGAGCTCAGCTGGAGAACACGGACACGTCGTTAACGACGCTCGCCGCCATGTTAGCGCCTCCCGGGCCTGCGACACACTAACATCCACAGAAAGCATCTGAAAGGTGAAGGATCTATATTTATAAAAACCTTGCTGATTTGAGCTTCAATTATTGCGACGATATCCTTGGCGAAGGTCAGGTTCTCCTCGGCCAGGATGGTCAGCATGTTGATGTGCGGCTTGCTGTTGAACGTCAGGTCCTCCAGGGAGGACTGGTACTCCCGGCAGGCGTCTTCTCTGGCCGCGCTGTCCTCCATCTTTGAGCTCGGGGACCCGGGACACGCTACAGCGTCAGCACCATAACTCCGGGTCGACACAGTTCATGAACCCGAACACACAACCCTCCGCCCCGGGCAGCTCGCTATCAACGCCGGGCTGAAGGTTTGTTTCTCGGCCGCGGCCCGTCGCTGATCTCGGAGCGTTTTCGACGAAGACAAGATGGCGACTGTAACTGAAGACCCGCGACGTCACAGGAAACCGCTTATACCGCCCATGACGTCACTACGGCCCCATTGGTTGGTTTCAAGCCGACGGGGCCGGGATTTGGATTTTGATTGGTTGAATGAAATTACAGCCTCATGAGAGAGCCAATCAGCTTTGAGCAGGGCGAGTTTCTGATTACATAAGGAAGCAGATGAGCACATGAGGCCGAAGCGTGTTCCAGAGGTTTTAACATGTTACACATCACGTGTAACATACCAACACATGAGGTACCACGTGTGATCAGCTACATACATGTAACACATCATGTGTAACATACCAACACACGAGGTACCACGCGTGATCAGCTACATACATGTAACACATCATGTGTAACATAACAACACACGAGGTACCACGCGTGATCAGCTACAT